GCTCCATCCCTGTAGCCTTCACCCATCTTTTCCGGAGGTACCAGAAGGACCACTGAGCATTACCAAGGCCATGGCCAGACTTACCTTCAGCTTATGCTCCAACATCATATTCTGTTCTTTTAGTATGTTTTCTCTCTCCTTCTCCATCTTCTCTTTCAGTTGGACTATGTTTTCCTGGAGAGTCCTTTCTTGAGCCTCCATCTGCTGTTGCTGCTCCAGTAGTTTCTGTCTTAGCAGCTCCTGTTCCCTCTCAGCTGACTCCTTGCTGACTCGCTCCGCTGCCACAGGAAAGTTTGGAGAGGGAAGAAAATTAAGTGAGGATTGATCTCTACCCTCCAGAGCTCAGAGACAAAAGCAAACTGGAAGGGAAGGTGGAAAATCTCTGAATTCCTAATGAATTTCAAAATACGGGAATGGCCCCGTCTGGCTGACATACAACCACAACTCCCCTTGTTTTTAGATTTAGCAGAGTTGTGCTTCAGAAGGAGAGGACGTTCCTTGTTTCAGGAAGGTTTTACCCTTATACCTGACAGAGGGAGCTACCCAACCCATTGTGAGCCAAGCCCTGCCCCATACCTGCTATGGCCTTCTCCCTGTCAGTGAGGGCTTTATCTGCCTGCCAGATGGATTTCTCTATTGAAGCCTGCGACTGCAGAAAGCTCTGGAGGACCTCATTTGCCTGAGGAACCAAGAAGGAGCAAAGAACTTAGAGTTCCACTGTGGAGATTAGTGCTGCAAAAACAAGTATGTCCATGTAATTTGTGCTTCATGCTTAAAATTCTACAGTGGCTCCCTACAAGGTGTGCAAGCGCCTTAGTGTGGCCACAGACTCCGTATCTCCTGCTTCCTGTGTCCTGCAGGCTCTCCCCCAGTGCTACTTCCTTCTCCCCACTCTGGGTTCCAGCCAGTCAGAACTATGTTCAGTTCTATAAATCCACAATCTCTGGTGTTTTATGTATTTGCTTTCTAATGTTGCCTCTAATTTGTACTGTTGCTCTCCTCTGTTATTTTACTGACTTTAACTTTAGGCAAGTTATTTTAACCTGTTGGTGCCTCTCAGTTCAGATACGTAAAATGTTGACAATAAATATAGACATTTCTTAATGTTGTTTGAAAGATTAAACTTAGGGGCCTAGGGAAACAGCTTTACATTATGCCTATAAGAAATAAGAGTCCAGTATATATTAGTTGCATTATTAATTATTATGTTTATTACTACAACCTATGTAGCCCATTTTCTTTTATTTATTTCTTTATTATTATACTTTTTTGAGTATAGTTGATGCACAATGTTATATTAGGTTGTGTGTACAAGATAGTGATTCTACAAATTTATATTTTGCTATGTTCACCACAAGTGTAGTTACCATCTGTCTCATTATATCACTATCACAATATTGTTGACTCTATTCCTTATGCTGTGCCTTTCATTCTCATGACTTATTCATTCCATAACTGGAAGTCTGGATCTCACACTCCCCTTCACCCATTTTGCCCATCCTCCTCCTCTCTTGCAATCATCAGTTTGTTCTCTGTATTTATAAGTTTGATTCTGTTTTTTGTTTATTCACTTGTGGGTGTTTTTTAAGATTCCACTTATGAGTGAAATCATATGGTATTTGTCTCGGTCTGACTTATTTCACTTAGCATAATATCCTTTAGGTCTACTATGTTGTCTCAGATGCATGATCTCATCCTTTCTATAGCTCCAGAATATTGCATCATATGGAGCCCATTTCCACAGATTCATATGTGTTATAACTTTGTATGCAATTGTCTATATTTGACTTCCTCTCTTACTTTTGATCATACATAAGTACAAGGATTCTTACTTGTAAATTTGTCAGCACTTGCCATATTCAGTGCTGTGTTGTTGGTTGGGAAATGAGTAATTTCTGTTCTATCTCCTATGGATTTCAGAAATCAATACTCTTTTTTTGGGAATAGACATTTCCACTCATTTCAGGAGTAAATAGCAAATAGTGGTCCTTCAAAGCTAAAGCTGTCATGATATCCCCATGCTGTTTATCACCCACAATTGGTACTCTGCTCTTAGATTATCTGGAGACCCCTTTGACTTTATTCTGTAGGCCCCCCATGCTCCCCTATTCCTCACCTTCACTCCTTTCCGGGGCACTTGTGAATAGTTCCACTCAATACTTTCCTTTGCTTCCCTGTAGAGCTTGTATCCTCCAGGAACAGAGAAAGTTCCTGCTGAAATACTTTCCATTAGGACCTGTGAAAGCTGATCAAGCCTAGACTGGCAGTATTCAATGGATGCCTCTTCATTCTGCTGCAAGAAATGCTCCTTCTTATCCTTTATGAGTTACTACAAGGGAAAAGTAGGGGGATATCACCTGAAGAAAGGAACAGAAAAAAGATACCATTCCAAAGAATCTGGTAAAAGGATTGGTCTAACCGTGGTCCTCATGAGAAAAGCATTCTGTTGGAGAAGGACATGGAATAAAACAGGATTCACAAGACTTGATTTACTCACAACCTTGAATACTCTCTGCAAGACTATAGGCAAGTTTCTTAACCTCCCTGGTTCTTCTGAAAGGTTGGAGTTGTATTACCTAATCTCCATGGCTCCTTGCAACTGGAGCATTCAGTGATTTTATCTTCAGTGTTATGGTGATACAACAGGAGCAATGTAAACTGAAAATGGCCTGGAATGAGGGTGTGATGAGAGAATATTTGTTTCCTGACAATGGGAGTGTGTTGCCAGAAAACATCCATGCTCAGGAAAGACTTTTGGGTGTTCTGGGCAGGCTTAGAATCCATAGAAATATTCAGATCAGGAGGATATCTATATTGATTTTACTTAAGAGAGATTTCTAGACAAAGTGCCTCAGGTTTGAAGGAAAAAAAAAAAGAAAAGAAAAGAAGAGAAAAGAAAAAAAGAAAGAAAGAAAGAAAAAGAAAGAAAGAAAGAAAGAAAGAAAGAAAGAAAGAAGAGAAAGAAAGAAAGAAAAGAAAAGAAAAGAAAAGAAAAGAAAAGAAAAGAAAAGGAAAAAGAAAGGAAGGAAGGAAGGTAGTCCTTTAAAAACTGTCCCATGAGAATCCAGATTGCTTTGTCCTTGAGTAAGAGATGAGCCATGGGGTTAATAAAAGTACTTCTAGGTTTCATTCTTTAAAGGGAAGGGTCCCAAAGAGTAAATACTAAGACACATTACCACCAGCTTTTTCTGGAACTCCCGCTTTTCATCCTTGAAGGAGTGCTCCATGAACACTGCAATGGCTTCCCTCTCACAGTCTGCATGCACATCCAGCAGCTCCTGGAGTGTGTCTGTGGGGAGCTTCACTCGCTGGGCCATCTGCTCACTGTAGTGGTCAGAGGCCTTCTGCACTGCCACTGAGTTCTCAAGCTCGGCTAGAGTTGTCACTGCATTCTCCAAACAAGGCACTGAACCAGTATTGATGGTATCCACATAGGTCACCACCAGAGTCCTCAGCCCTGAATGAGCCAGGATATTAAAGGGATAAATATCAAATTATCACCCCATAGTATACCAGACTCTGAGACTACATTTCTGAAGTCATGCGCACTCATACCCACCACCCCCATCCCCCCACCCCATGCCACACACAGCCCTGCCTCCTCTATCTTCACCTTTGTTTTCCTATTGGCTCTTAATTTTTATGGTTCTCCAGGCCACATGGCTAAAAAATTAAAAATTTACCCTTATCTAACATACTAAAGGGTATCTGGAAAACATAATTTCCCCTTTAAAAAATTAAAAGCAAAATAGATTATATAGGTAGACAGATGAGGCAAGATAAATCATATTTATTCTGAATTTTAAAGCTTCCAATGGATAATCACTGATTCATGGGATACTATTTATTTTTGTACTCTTCTAAAGTCCCAAAATATTTTTGTATTTATTGCAAATAACACTTACCAGATGGGAGTTCCCTTGAGAAAAAAAAAAAAAAAAGCAGTGTGTTCTGTTTTTATCCCCAGTTAGTGATTTTTTTTTTAATCAGTGGAGGATTTTTTTTTTCAGTTAAGTGGATGACACAGATACCAGTGACAAAGTGTGCAGTACTGGAGAGGGATTTATAAACCTTCCAAAGTGAGATAATTATAAAATATACACATCTCTTCATGGAGTATGAATATGTGTATACCTAGAATTCCATATAGAATCAAACAAAAATGCTGATATTAGGCCCCATAGAAATGGGAAAAGGAGACTCACGATTCCCAGTCACTGTGACTCCCTCTCTGAGAGTCTTGGTCCTTCCCTGGGTGAAGATGTAAGAACAAAAATTGTTTGCTTGTGTCTGGAATTGAGGATCCAGTTGATATTCAGGTATATTCTCAATATTGGCTAAAAGTTTTGTGTCGTTTATTGGCCGGTCAAAGACAAAACACTTCCGTTTTGGAAAGAAATGCCTGATGCACTCTCTGGGTAGATTGGATGCTTGGATTCTGGGATTGTTGCCTGAGGGATAGGAACAACAGATTACTGTGGGAACAGTCTTGAGGCAAAGGAGCTAACAGTTTTTATGACAGGGATTTTGATTCTTTTCTGTCTTCTATGCTTATATCACCTTTAACACAGACATTCAATACTTCCTTGAACAGCAAACTCATACCAATGGTAGCATTCTGGAGAGAAATTTGGGAAGACAGGTGATCCAGGTAAAGAACACTATGGCTAGTAACTCCAGACCTGAAAATGGTGGTACAGTTGTCCATTAGATGTTTACTGAATGAATGGCTAAAAGAATGGAGGGTCAAATGGAACTTTTTGGTCTAATGTAGAAACTGAGCTTGGGACCAAGAAAAGCCACATAAATCCTTGTGTTCTAAATCTAAAATGGCTGACCTAAAATGTCTCAGCAAACTGAAAGTGCATTGTCTCATTTTTAAATTGATGGACCATTTTAAATATATATTTATAATATATATCATTATCAAGGAATAATGGAGCAGTATTAGGAACAACAGTATTAGGCATACTAGGATACTCTGGTTATTTAAGGAAAACTGCTTTGATGCTAGAAATAATTTGCATAATGTTAGTGATTTTACTTCACAAAAACCTCGGAGGAGTAAATGTAACTAAAGCGTAATTCTAGAATGTCACCGCTACTCTACAGACTCCTTGAGGTAAAGGACTAGACTTGATTTAACAACTTTGCTCTTCTGCCTAGCCAGTTTCTCATTAAATGTTTTGGGAAAGTGTAAGTAGAAACTGAAAGCAAGAATGAATTAATCAAAATTGATCTTTCTCTCAAGATGAGAGATGAGATATATACCATTATAAATATAACCCATTAAAATAATTTATTATTTCAAAATTATAACATGGATAAATATGTGACAATTAAGAGAAAACTATGATATAGACAGTAAAATGAATGTTCTGATGATTTTCAGAAATATTGAAAACGTGTAGCTTGAAAAGGCATACTTCTGGTTTATTTAGAATACACATTTTTTATGTGATATATCTATACAGGCATTAGAAAATTATATCCTTTGAGAAGATTAATATCTAACTGTAAAATATATTTTATTGAAATGTATATATAGTAATATATTGATTTTCCTTGTAATTTCATGCCTAATACATTTCGGTCAGTTGTTTTTTTCAACACAGAAAAACAGAAGCCAAACTAAGGAACATGTCTCTGGTCTTTGGAAAGTTTAAGCACCCACTGAAGTCTGGTAGCTAAATTAGCCATTATTTAAAGAACAAATTGGTTTTGAATAATTTCATTCTAGCCTAGGCTCTACTTTTCTTGGGTGAACTTAAACTCCAGTTCCTAGAGCTTTTCAACCGAACCTCAAGTCACCACTTCTACAGATTTCAATCTGGTCTTGAATACAAATGCAATGCCACAGATAGTGGACTGTGTTTAGTAGCTCCCACCCTCTGTTGGACCATCCACTGCCCAAGCCATGCTCTGATACCTGCAATCAGCTTCAAGGCATTCTCCAGGTACTCATCTTCTGTGATAGGATGACCATTTAGCTTCAGCTCCAGGGTGAAATCCCTTACAGCCCAGGTAAAGTCTGGAAAGAAACTCACAAACTCTGTGGAATCTTCTGTTCCATCCTCTTCTGGGGAGGACTTTGCCCTGATTAGTTTTGTGAGCTCTGTCACATAACTAGGGTGCAATTAAGGAAAAGGAAGTTCCTGCCCATCATTCCCACTTTTCTCTAACAAAAAATTATTATAAACACTCTGTTTTGCCCTGGGTCCCCTCTGCTCCACCAAAGGCAGCTAAGTGACAGGGAAGGAAAAACTAACTTGATCTCTATTCCCATCAACTTAATGAAACATGGTGGCTTGGTCCCTGGAAGGATACTGCAGCTGCTCCAGGGCCTGGTGGTTGATGGTGCCCAAGCTGTTGTAGACAAAGGTGCTGCTCAGAAGCACAGCCAGGGCAAAGATCCATGAGTCATTCTTAGGGTCACCCTAGAAAACACATTGTAGCAAAAGTTTTGGGAGTTTAGTCTTTAGAAGTTCATTCAGACACTTATTCTATCAGTCTTTCATTTATTATTTCAGCTAACATACTTGCCATGCAAAGAAATGTTTGAAGACAGACATAGATAAAGATGTCAACTTTGATAATTACAAAGACTTTTTTCATGATTGTGACTTCTTCATACATAAAGAGATTCTAATCTTCACAGAGCTTGCTTTTTCTTCTATTGGATGAAATAAAGTAACATATATAGAAAAAATAGTACAGTACCTGGTGTGCAGTCAGGTATTCAATGATGAGTGTTAGCATTTATTCATTCTACATATAGCTATATAAAATATACCATAATTGCCAT